CCCGGCAGCAGTCTAGGTTTGCTGGCAGTTTGTATTTGCATACACGTCATCTGTGCTTTTTTTTTTAAACATCCCCCTTCTTCGACAGGCTCAGTGGTGCACTCTGGTGACCTGCTCAGGGGAGGAATGTCAGAGGGCAGACGCCTTTGGTGAAGATGCAGGCACCACATACCAAACAGGAACACCCTCTGCTGCTTCTTCCCATGTATTTAGTGTGTTCCCTCATCTCTGGGCCTAGGCCTGTCTGCACCCAAGAGGTATTTTTAGCCTTAGGGCCTCTAAAGACAGGTCAGGGTGACCCAGAAGCTGTCCCCTATATGGCTCCAAACCAGGTACAACCCAGCTTATAGCCCTTGGATTCAAACAGCTTGGGGAAAGGAAGAGAGGTTTGGGTGGGGGTTGGAGGAGACATCAGGATGAACCATCTCAACAAGCAACTTGGCATTTCTGTATTAAGGAGTGAACGCCCAGTGCTGAGAGTGACTACAGTGACCTCTTAGGGTGACCTAAGCCATGGGTGGTGGAGGGCAGAACATCACCTAAAACTTATTTTAATGACCATCCAAGTCACTGTCTGAGTATCCAAACCACTTAAGGTCTTGAAAGACATTCACATCTAGTTTCAGTGCTTAAACCAGCCTGGAAAATGCAGATCCCCATTTAAAGACCAAAAAAACAGACATCAAACTCTGGCCTACACAAACAGGCAGCTGGTACGTGAGGATTTCAGTATAAGCCAATGGTCCAGGCACTACCTTTCCTCCATTGTTGGAGGTCACATTCTACCAAACCTCTCTGCAAGGTTTTTGGAGGTCACAGGTGCAGCCTATGATGAAACAGGAAGCATTGGGAAGCCAGGAGAGAAATCAGTCCCCAGAAGCCTGTTCTGGCTGCATCTGGTATCTAACTGCAGATGTGCCAGGTTCTTTTTCCAAACTCTGAAAGGATTTCAAGGGGAGAGACATGCCTAAATTCCCAAAGCCTTTTCCTTCTGGGCACTAAAGCTGGCCTGTTAGCCAATGGCCTCTCCTGGCTTATGTGTCGCTCATCAGATGGGATAGCCAAGTAAAACACTCCCCAAGAGAAAGCCAAGCTGGTGATGAGCCAAGGAGAGATTCCAGAAGGTAGATGCCCCCAAAGGGATGTTTTCACAGTGTTGCAAAGGGCATATATAGTACTAATAAAAATTTTTGGAAAACGTTTGAATGACATCTTTCCTACTTTCACTATGAGCATTTAGGATGGATAGATGCATTCTACACTTAAGATACACTTCTTAGAACATGGGGGTAATAGATTCACTTGACAGAATTATTGGGAGGATTATACAAAACAATTATAAAATGCCTGGCATAGTATCTGGCACATAGTGAGTAAATAATATTAGTTCCTTTTTCCACTTCCCCACTGATTAGAATAGATCCTAGATAAGGTACAAGAGTCACCTGAAAAACATGGCATAGCTACAGAGTCCTAAGGTTTGTGACAAAGTTAAATATATCCACCTGCAAGCCTTATTTTGTACCACAGCTTTTGACCCTTTTCCAGAGACAAAAAAAAAGGTGACTGCTTAAGTCAAGGATATTTTGTTCACCTTGGTAAAATACGTCTATTCATTGGCAAAAGGCAATTTATAGACTGCATTCATGAAATTCTACAATGTGTTCTGTAGGGACATTTGCAGTGTGAAAGCTGATTGTCTCCCAAATTCACGCCAGGGCACTGGGGTCTGGTAAGCCAAAGCTCCCACTTCAAACCACCTTTTCATTATGTCCTTAAATACACATTCCGTCCTCCCTACCCTACCTTATTTTTCCAATGGAGTTTTAAGCAACTAACAAACAGTCCAATTTCTCAGAGATACAAAGAAATAAGCTCTGAGAATGCCTTTCAGGGGGAAAAGCATGGAAGGCAAATTTTATGTAAAATTATAAAGTGCAATCTAATGCCTTTTTCCCCCCTTTTGGAGGTTTGTGGGAGGGGGAAGGAGGGAACCTTGAATACCAATTGTTTTGCTTTTAATAAAGAACACACCAGAGGCCTACAGTCCAAAATTCAGAGTCAGTATTTTCCTGGAGTAAGAAATTGATCGTTTTTCTTCCTATAAAACCAACCTAATTAACCAAGTTCCTTTCCTAAGACTGGTAGAAATGGAGCACTCTTTTAAATTCTTGTGCAATGTCTAAGGAGGACTTCTAATCAGTATGCCCACCTGCAGCACAGGTTACTGAGGTAACATCTGTAAGAGGTATAATCTCTGTTTGTAGCAGGCAGCCCCTGGCTTATGGGAGAATCTGTCCCTAAGAGAAAAAAAGTGCCGACGGGGTTGGCAGGAGGACAAAGTTATGATGCAAAGTGGGGATGGCATCATATGGAACCAAGAAGTGGATGCCTTCAGTCCCCAGCATGCTCCTGGGTGCTGTCAGGTTGCAGGTGTGGCTGATTCTAACGCCAGTGTGGTTCTCAGTGAGCGCCTGAGGTGAAGGCGCTTGGCCAGGGGCCTAAAGAACCAAGGCTACTCCTCAGTCAAGTCATTTCTGATTCCACTCACCAAAGCCCAGTCTCAGGCATGGTCACCAAAGCCAGTCTCAGACATGGGCAGTGCAGACGGGGAGAGACCTGGTTCCCAGCAGGCTGTTGGGTGGCCGCTGCTGCTTCTGAGGGCTGACCTAGTTTTCTTGTCTTTGGACTTTGTAGCTCCTTTGTCCCTAAATAGACCATAACACCACTCTGTGCTCTGTGCTTAAGCCCGGGGCCAGGAGGCATCACTGAGGTAAAAGCCTCTTTTAAGGTTCGTTGCCAGTAACAAACACACATTCAGTTATAAGAGCAGTACGTGATCCTGAATCTCCGCCAACTAAAAGAAAGCTTCATATACACTGCTGAACTTTCACAACTCTACAACTCAGAGTACATAAGGCGTGTGTAATACAGCTGTGAATCTTGCCAACAGTCCTGCCCCACCCACTGGCCGCCAGGCAGCTGGACTTTGAATTGTACCTGGCACATAGCCATCCTATCAACTCTCTGCTAAATGCTTCTCAGCCCATTTCTCATCCTTGTTCTGTCTCTATCCACCGGGCCATTTCCCTCCCTCTCCTCCTTCCCTCTCCCTGAGTTCTCTGGAGTTAACAGTGACCAGAATGCATCAGCATGTACAAGGGATTATCCTTTTCATTGTACCTGAGGCAATCTGCTTAATGTTTGGATACACAGAAAAAAAGCCCAAATATTTTTGCTTTAGATCCTTTCAGAAGGCATTAAAAAAAAAAGTACAAACACAAATCACTTGACAATTTTATGATTAACACCAACAAATGGAAAACAGACAGTTTTGAGCATTGCTAACAATTAAGCATTTCGTGAGAACCAGCTCAACCGCCCCATTTCTCGGATCTATTTCTAGACGTCCCAAATGCGCATGAAGATGAAAGCAGTTGGGCACATCAAGGATGTATCCAGTGTTCAACACAGGAGACAGAACTCCAGGTGAAAAGCCACTGGTTCCTGGGGACAACATGCAAACATCAGGTTCCCAAGAAACACTGAGTTCTGTGCACATGGGTAACATGTCAAAATGTTAAAGGTGACTGTAAGAAACACGATATGAGTATGTTTCATCTTCACGTAGAAGAAGGTGGTGATTTCTCAGAAGACAGAGTCTGCGACACCTAGCAGAGTCAAATGGAAGATGTTTAGCGTTTGCTTCATCCTAGCTTGATAAGAACAAGAAATCCCAGGAAAAAGCCCATCCACATAACAGTGAACAAAGTCCTTAGTGAACACATTTGATGTGAGGCCTAGCAGGAAAACTATTTTAGTCTCTTGGCCAAAAACCATACATAGGGAGGAAACTTGAAAGTCTAGGCTATTCGGTTCTCCCTACATTTTTCTGCTTGAAACAGGATAAAAAAGCCTTAAATTTTGGCTGCATCTCTATTTATGTAACAACCACAGCTGCTCCCTAAAATAGCTGCTGCTGGCTGAAAGAATCAAGGGCTTTTGTTGCTAACATTTGAGTCCATTTTCTATAGCACTTGACTGAATTTCTTGCCCCACACTTTGGCTGCCCCTTGTCTCAAAGGAGATAAAAAATCTCGTTAGCACATCAATGGTGTCATCAGTTACATGGATGGATTCTGAAGTTAAGGCTCATCTTCGCAGCAAGCACAAATTTAGCTCTGTATTCTATAGCGTGGCCTGCGGTCTCTTGACTACCCAGGACGTCTTAACTACCGACCACTGGAGGGTGGCCCTGTGGCTGACATGGAGGCCCTTCAAATTGACAATCCACAAAAGAGAGAAACATATGGTGCTCATACTGTTTTTTGGGACAAACCCAAACCTGGACTGCTGGCATGGCATTTAATAGAGGGCCCCCTCTCCCCCAAAAGTAACAAAGAGAACCCTCATCAAAGCTATCAGACTCATTAAAAAAATACAAGTTATTTTTTTTCCCTTTTGAGTACTATTTACTTGTGACAATATTTGCTAAAAATACTACTTCTGTCTTTGAGAAGAGCTCATTCTCTTCATAGAATATGGAAAAATAAACTCTACAGAAAGACACAGTTGATATCTCCCATCACACCCAGGAGCTTTTGGCTTTCGTATCTCCAAATATCACCATCTATGTCAAGGTGCTACGTTTCCTAGTAGGCAAACACTTCTTGTTGTATTAGTATCCAGTGCTCGAACTAAGAGGAAGAGGAAGTGGCAAGGCTCATGTAGCATTATGAAGTGAAGAAACAAGGAAATAGGATGGTTTATTTGCCAACAAAAGTGAAAGGTAACAAGGTGGTCTCAGGCCCTCCTCCGAAGTCTTGTGATGTCCCCTCATCTCTTCTGACCACTTATAGCCCTGCTAATGCTTGATGATTCATGGGAGGGTAGGGAGATACTGAGGCCCATTATCAGTGTCACTGCAATGGAGGGCGCCACTTCTGTACCCAGGATCATCTTAAAACACTGAGCGGGATGAATGGTAGAAGACAAAGATACATAAAAACAGTAAAATGTTTATTTTCTTAGAAAAAAAAGTGGGGAAGAGGGATTCAAAGTGATTGTGATCACACTTCCATTAGCATCTGAGCAAAGCCAATGTTGCAAGCTTAATCCTTGGTTAAGATACTATTATATGAAACAACCTGCCGCTCGCTCCTGGGTCACTTCCAGGAGTCACGTCACAACATGCTTTTAATCAATAATAGCTTCTCTACTTCTTCTCAGCAGAGAAACAAGGCTTGCCATAGCCACCATCCCATGTCCAAAGCTCAGCATTGCCAGTGAGAAGCAAGGCTCAGTCCGTCTCTGGACTGCTCGGGAGAGATGGGGAGGAAGGAGACAGGGAAAGAGACACTTGTCTAAGAAGTGGAACCATCTTAGAATAGAAGTTCGATATCTGAGTTCACCACTACCTCATCTTATAGAAAATAGGTTGGAGAGCATCTGTAAAACCAACAGTATCTTTAAGGTGAAACTGCAGAAGTTTGCTGCATACCTGGACACAAGAGAAGTGAAAAGTTGCAACAAGTGTTAACTAGCAGCAACAAAGAAAGTTCGATAACAGTTTTTTGTTTGTTTTTAGCAAGATTCCTTTTGCAAGTTCGTTAAGAAACACTGTAATTGAATGGGGCATACGATATGGAACGATCTTCTTTTGTTATAGTGCTGTTCGCTGAAGAGAACCAACTTTTGCAAAGATTTCAACTGGGGGGGTGTAACCTATTTACACAGTAGCAGTTCCTGGTTTGAGTGGTGGAATTGGCGCTATGTGACATCCTCTTCTTCGGAACAGTAATCTCGACCCTTAGGGAAAGAAAAGAACAACATGTGAATGAGAAATTCAGAGCAGAGCCTGAAACAGTTACTTGTAATCAATTTGCTCTCAGTATTTGTCTCTAAAAAAGACTCCAGGATTTATCAGCCACTACTGGGCACATGGTAGACACGTCATAAATACTTGTTAGCTGATAATATGAACTATATGAACCTTATGGAGTCCCTGGGGGTGCAAACGGTTAACGCGTTGGGCTGCTAACTGAAAGGGTGTAAGTCCACCCAGAGGTGCCTTGGAAGAAAGGCCTGGTGATCTACTTCCAAAAAACTGGCCACTGGAAACCTTATGGAGCACAGTTCTACTCTGATACACATGGGGTCATACACATGAATCGTAATCAACTTGACATCAACTGTTGTAGAATATGTACCTCAAGGCATGGGAGTTTTACTGAGCCTCAATTATGCCCTTTGTGTTGGTAAGAACGCACACTTTAATAGGTATACAAAAGATTCAACCTTTCATCAAGAAGTTACCAAAGGGATATCTATTCAAGAATCCACTATCTTTAATCAAGAAAATGCAAAAACAAGTCACTCTCATCTGGGGCCAGAGCTGCACACATTCTGTGGGCTATATTCTCACGCCTGGAGCTTAAACAACTTGACGAAAGAGGATGGTGTGTGATCCAGGGAAGTCACAGTTTTAAATCTGCTCTAAATTAAAACACAGGGATTAAAGAAAATAAACACACAAGGATTCACTGAGTATGTGTAATATATCTAGGTTTAGGCTTGGTATGTGATGGATGCATAAGAAAGGCAAAGATGCTTTTGATTCGTTTCTAACAAAACAGATTACTTGAAGGCTTAAGGACCATATACAATCATTAGTTTTGAACCCGTTTCATCCTTTCTCCACTAGGTTATATATTCCACATAGGCATGGTTGGGACTAGGATTTAGACTCCACATCCGGCCTAACTGGGTTGTCTTGGTGAGGCTCGAGAGAGACAATGCCTCAGAAAAGGGCTTTGTAAAAGTCAAGGGTTACTACTATTTGCATCCTTCCAAGTTTTCTTTTTAATAATATTTTATATGCTTCAGGTGAAAGTTTACACAGCAAATTAGGTTCCCATTTAACAATTTCTAGACAAATTGTTCAGTGATATTGGTAACTTCAGGGGATATTTCTTGTTTAAGGTTTAAAGAGTATCTCAGAGCAATCATCTCAGGGAGTCTTCTAGTCTCAACTGGTCTAGTAAGTCTGTTCTTTTTTAAGAATTTGAGTTCTGTTCCACATTTTCCTCCTGTTCTATCAGAGTCCATCTATTGTGATCAGAAGAGTCGTAGTGGTAGCCAGGCACCATCTAGTTCTTCTGGTCTCAGGGTAGAAGAGGCCATGGTTTGTGCAGACTATTAGTCCTATAGACTAGTTTCTTCTCTGAGTCTTTCGTTTCCTTCTTTCCCTTTTGTTCCAGATAAGTAGAAACCAACAGGTGTATCTTAGATGGCTGCTCACAAGCTTTTAAGATCCCAGACACTACTCACCACATTGGGATGTAGACCATTTACTTTATGAACTATAGTATGCCAATTAACTGAGTTGTCTCATGAGACTATGATACTAAGCCTTCAAATCTAGAAAACAAATCCTGCGAGGTATTTGGTTATGTCTAAGAAATATCTGTAACTATGTCCCATATGTGAGTTTATTATATATATGAATATACATGCATATACATACATACCTGTTATGTACAGATGCCTATAGATACATCTATCTGTGCACACGTACGTACCCACATAGTCATACCCATACACACATACGCTTATATATATATTTGTGTAATCACATATTATTTTTTGGTTGTTGTTTTTTTTTTTTTAAATGCATACTACATGTACCAGTTTTGGGGAGACTATTCCTTTTAAGAAACAGAATTTCCTAAATAATTAGAACTTATTCCTAAAACATACTAATACTTAAAGAAAATAATAATTTTTCATATAATTATTTCTCAAATGAATTATATTTTCTTTGTCACACTACCTTGGAAATAATTCACATTTTTTAAATATTTAAATGTCAACATAATGAATTATTGTACCACATGGCTGGGTGCTAATCCTAGCTCTGCTACTTACTAGCTGTGGCAACTTGAGCAAACTACCTCTTTGTGTCTCAGTTTTCTCATCTGTAAAGTGGCGATAACAATACTACCTACTTCACAGGGTTGCTGTGAAGATTAAATGAGCTAATATTAGTAAAGTGATTAAGAGTACCTGGGTGATGTATAAGGAGCCCTTTTGGCTCAGTAATTAAAGTGCTCGGCTGCTAACTAAAAGGTCAGCGGTTCGAACCCAGCTGCTGCTATGTGGGAGAACAATGTAACAGTCTGCTTCCGTAAAGACTATAGCCTTGGAAACCTTATGGGGCAGTTCTACTCTGTTCTATAGTGTTGCGATGTGTCGGATCTGACTCCACAGCAATAGGTTTGGGTGATGTATGTGTGTGTGTTTGATAAATAAAAAAGTTTCAACTCAATGTTGAAGTCTTCAGGGCCTGCAAATGCATGAGAGCTTGCCTGCTCCCATAGTAAATGGCCCCAAAGTGCTTGCTCTTTTTGAATGTGATTCACTAATTGGCACGCTGTGGTTCCCTCCACCATCGGATTGCCAACTCTCACCTCTTGCAGAGTGCCCGAGCTCAGAGTCATCTCAGGCTTCTTTTACACGCTGCATAAAGCCTATCCCTGGCTGAGAAGATGTGTAACCAATCTTCCTGGGCAGAGAAGTGATCTCAGCAGCCATCCCCATCGGCAGCATCCCCGTGACACTGCCCATCAGATGCCGGCCCTAGCCTTGGCTCAGACCGAGGAGGCCCAGGGTAAAGAACCAGAAAAGACGAGGCCCTCATGGTCCCTGACAGTAGGGAAATTATTCTCAAATGGGGATGAGGACACATTCAAACATGTGAACACGAATACAAATGATGTTCTCCATACAGGCTCAACTCATGGAGTTCAGAGAGAAGACTAGCAAGTGGGAGCTGGGTGTTCAGCTGGAGGAAAAAGGCAAGGCTCGTGGCGCTTTCATAGCAGTTTTATTAGGAAAGGAAAGAGACCACTCTAAGCGAAGGTATGGCACATATACTGTTGAGTGACACTGGGCGAGTTACTGGGCTTTGGTTTCTTGGGGATAATTATGGTTTTCATCCCATAGGGTTGTGATTAGGATTAAATGGGAAAAATACAGTGTTTGGCACATAGTCAATAAATGTTAGCTGCTGCTATTATTACTATTACTACTATCGTTGTAATAGTTGTTATTACAAACCCTGTGCTCGTTCAGTCCCCTGGCAGGAGCACTGGGGCTTTCTCTTGTGGCTACCAGGTGAGTGAGGACTGTGGTCATAGGCTGTGATCTGACAGGTGTCAGGGAGCCCCTTCCTCCCACCTCAGCCTTGCACTCCAGACTTCAGAGCCCCATGTACATGAATAAAGGTTCTATAGGAGAAACTTAAGTCCGTTCACTTCTTAGGTCTAAATGAGTCCTCAAATCAAAGGCGCTGTAAGCCACTGTGGGGGTTCAGAGGGCATCTCGTTCATGAGGCAGAACCTGGAAGCAATACACATGGACACACTCACTCACACACATATACACACTCACAAATGGTTCTACTCATTGATAAAGCAGTGTCTCCAACTCTGTAAATGGCTTACAGGGCTATGTAGCCAAAGGGGCAATTCAGACCTTCCAAGTTGCCGGCTACCATCAGAATGCCCCCCTTCTGAGGGACAAATATATAGAAACCTTCTTTGTAAAGGCAAGACTGTGCAGCTTTCATTTCCCAAGCATTTACTCCTCTGAAATGACCGTCATGAGGAGGAGGAAGAAAGCTGCATTAAAGGCTTTACAGATATGATACCATTTACTATCTGCACCAACCCTGCAAGGTAGGAGTGGCCCTGTGACTTGGGAGGAAACCTTAAAGAAGCTGGGGAAGGCCCAAGACCACAGGGCTGCTTATATCTACAGTGACTTGGTAACTTGATAACTTAATTCAAATCAGTTTCACTTTTGTTATTATCATTCTGTCAGCAGCTCTGAGAAGCAAATACTTTAGTAACAGAAAACTTGGAAATCAAAAACACACTGACGGTAAGGGCTACCATATGGCCTTTGGAGGCAGTTCTAAGAAAGGGGAGCCTGAGGAAGCCCTGTTGTTGAAGGGGCCTCATCTCAGCATCACATGGGGCCCCATGTTCTCACTAGCCCCTTGAGCAAGATAGTGGGATCCCTTCTGCAACATGACTTCATGTCTCAGTTAACTTTTTAAAGAAAGGTGCTAAAAAGAGAACCTTAAAACCTTCAGCTATCAGCAGGCAGGAACTGGGAGTGAGCCCAGCTTGGGAGATACACAGCAATTCTCTTAGTTGAAGCATGCCCCTTCCCCTTGAAGGGACCACAAAATGGAAGTCTTTGTAATGACGCTTTACACAGTTAGAATTAGGGAGCGTTAGACACAATCCCACCCTTGTGCAAAGGACACACTGAATGCTGCAGAGAGCAAGATCCCCACGAGGCCCCAGCAAGCTCAAGAATGGAAACTCCCAAGGATACAGACAAGGAAGGGTTGTTTGAAAGAACCACAGGGGCATTCTGGTGTAGACTCTAAAAGCTTCTAAGGAGCTTAAAAAAAACAAAAACAAAAAACCAAATCCATTGTCGTCTTGCCGTCAAGTCCTGACTCATAGCAGCCCTATAGGGCAGAGCAGAACTGCCCGATAGGGTTTCCAAGGAGAGGCTGGTGGATTTGAACTGCCGACCTTTTGGTTAGCAGCCATAGTTCTTAACCACTGCACCACCAATCCTCAAAAAGGCAGACACGTCCACCTCAGGGCATGGGGGCTTGTTCTTCCTCCTTCCCAGACAGCTCCACACCCCACCTCCACCCATCCATTACTTCTCACCTTCTAGAACTCTGCTCAAAGGTCACCTCATCAGAGAGGTCTTCCCTGAATTCA